AAAACCATCCTATGTTGATGTCACTTAATTATAATATCATTGATTCAAGACATATGCACTCATTATTGTAACTCAATCACTGGATGGTCAGTCCAAAGAGGATTTGATCTGGCCTCTTCCATACAGGTTAAATAACATTATATAATGATGTAACCAACAACCTCAGAAAGGTCAAATATCCTTGATGGGTGTGACTTAGATTTTGAAATCCTTAATTCAAAAAGTATGAATCTCAATCACTAGATGTTCAATCCCAAGGGGATCCAATATGACTTCTCCCACATAGGTTCGATTGTATTGTTTAATGATGTAACTAACAACCTCATATAATTGAGTGCCTTAAACGAGCATAAATAGAATTCGCTTGAGTTGAATAGGAGTACTGAAATATTTTTCACTAGTTAAATAAAAGCATCAATTTATTAAAGATAACACATGTGAAGGCAAATGCCTAACACATAACAATCACTAAGAAAGATAAAGTAATACAACAAGTGGAAAATAAAAACACTACTCTATCTCTATAATCACATCATCCTTCGAAAGGGAAAAGGCCTTATACAGCTCACTATCTATTTTGTCACCATCATAATCTATAATGGAATCATCAGAAGCCTGACTGAGTGTTAAGCCTTCAACTTTTACTACTGTCTTTCACTGTATCAGGTGAACTCCCTTTAAGAAGCCTTGGATAAACCCCTCATCAATATACTGCTGCTCTAAGGCCTTCACTTCTACATCATAAATGTGATCACGAGCCTCCTTAACTTGATTCTAGATGATGGTCTTGAAAGCTATGGACTTTTTAAATCTTCAATGACTCTCAAAGATTTTAAGCCATGCAAAGTAGCCTCCTTCTCGGCTATAATAGTCTGGAACCTTTTATTGATATCTTCTCTATAGAGGCCTTTTGATCTTTTAGAAGCTGGGTGATCATCGTTTGTATCTCCACAAGGTCAATTTGGAGTCAATCTTTCTGTTGATTTTGAAGAAAGATAGAATGTACTATATTTACCAGCTTAGTTCTACACTCGGTCAACTCTTCCTCCACCACCTTCACCTCCTTGACCTTATGGTTGTACTTTCACTTATACTCTCTATAAGAATATTGATCTTCACAAATTCTTTGTTCAATACATCTAAGGACTGACTAAGCTTAGCCTCAAGATCCATTTGATGTAATAACTAAAATAATAAGATGATGTTAGCAAAAGGTAGTCCAAATAGACCCACAAAATAAAAAAAAAATGAAAGAGAAATTGCTACTCACCAAGTCATCGACTAGGCGATGTCCGATACACTATGATTTAACACATCCTCTGAAATATGCAACTTGATAGGGGAGGAGCTGGGGACAACCTTGCTAGTGCTTATTGTGACCCCCTTTAAATTTTTCTTCTTCAATAAAGCCTTAGGATCAGCACCTCTCGCATGTCGCTTAGGAGCAACTTTTGGAGCTTGGGCAGGGGGCTCAAGAACCTTAGAGGACATCTTCAACATCCTTGCATCAGATCTCCCAACATGAAATAATAGTCCAACTCTAAATAGGAACTCTTATTTTATGTATTTATTCAAGTAAAGAACCTCATATAGAAGATGATCGATGTCGAGAACCTTAAAAATCCTCAATATATCTTCTTCTTCGACATGCAAAAGGGCTGACGAATACTTAATCTTCCCCCACTTCTTTAGAAGGCCCTAGTCATTTCTCGCAAAGAAATTTATGCTGGCCTAGCTGTTCAAAGGATCTTATGTACGCATGTTTAATTATTTGGATTTGAATATTAAATGCCCCTATGTATCACTAGTGAATTGGCCCATCTGTAAAAGATGTTCAGGTGTTAGAATGGCTCCTTGATCTTTAAAGAGTGTAATCAGCCCCATTTTCACTGATATGGCTCAATATAAAAATTGGTATAAACTCATCCCACTCCGTATGAAAATATTGATCATCTCAATAGAAGGTGGAAAGCATAACCCTACTCGTAAACTAGCCTCATAAATTATCAGGTATCCGGGAGGAGGAAGGTCGGCCCGATTAGATCTTTTAGGAGCTGTTGTCACCACATCATTTGAAAGTGAAACTTTTTGTGAAGAATGATCAAGGAATCACCCATAATTATGGACATAGTATCATGTGCTCTGGCTCCCTTATTTGGCCTCCGCTCACCATCATTTGGAGCAATAGGATCTCGCTTAATCGCAGGATCTCTCAAAGAAAGGTGGTCAACTGACATGGCGTCTGTATAGGGAGGGGCCCTATAGTTGGATAAGGGATGCCACCTATCTAAAAGTAGGGGAAAGCCTCATGTATAGGAAAAGGACTAGAAAGGGTAAGAGAGAAAGGTGGAGGAATCTCCTTCTTTCAGAGTGGGGTCCTGGGCCTGAATAGAGGATACCACCTGTATAGCGCCAGGCGAAGGCCTCAGTTGAAAGGAGGAAACTTCTTAGTGAGGGGCCCTAGGCCTGAATAGGGGATACGACCTGAAGAGGACTATGGTAATGCCCCAGCTTGAGGAAGTGCTAAGAGGGAGAACGGGAAAATTTGAGTACCATATGGGGCGATTTATAACTTTGTAGGGGTTATTAAAAAAAAATTTAGCCGACGTTTAACTGGTGGTTAGCCGATAGTTAGCCAACTGCTGGTGGTTGGCTAAATGGCCAACCATAGTTTATGCGGCTCGAAGCCATGCCCACAGCGAAATGGCCACATCGACCACACCTGGGTAGCGTAGGGCTCCAGGCAGGTGCATGGGCAGTTAGGAGGGCGCGCACAAGTGATGCGGTGGTGGTGCAGCGGTGGTGGCTAGTCCATCCTGACACGTTTCCAGACTATTTTTGGACAGATAAGCCCAAATTGGATGTTTTTAGGTCCCTAGAATTGTTTTTTGATGTTCTGAATTCAATTTTGGCACTTTTAAAGTTGTTTAAAACCTATACGCCCAAGTTTAAATTTTTTCAAGCTTTTAAATTGCATAGAAAAATTCCTAAAAGGTTGTGACACATATTTTGGAACTCCTTGATCTTCGATGGCCAAAAATAGGTGGACAACTTATACATCATCAAAAATTTATATTGATCAGGCACAAATCTTAAGGAAAAACCATGTTAGAAACTTTCAAAATTAAATTTGGGATCATCTCAACTCTGATTTTAATAAAATTATGGTTGAACTAAACGTATCGAGAATATGAACCCAATAACACCAAATTCAACGCAATCCGAGCCCAAATGGGCCTAAATCAACGGCCCAAAGCACCATTTGGAAATTTAAACCATAAATTGGATTACCAAATGGTCTCCAAATGTGACATGGTTATAGTCAAATCGAGCGGTTCGATGAGACAAATCCAACGAGCCCATGATTATGAAATTTCAACATCATTAAGACCTTCAATTGTCTAACGAATGTTCCACGATCAAGAGATTCAACATCGGCCTTCCATCCAAACCACTCCCCAGTTACTCTTGATCCTCCTCTTATTTATTGGTCATGCCACTTGAGAAAATCTATAAATAGACCCCTTCTTCCTCTTAAAAAGAGACCCCTAACCTAAGGAAACAAGAGAGAGATCAGAGATCACTCTTGCCTCCTTCACTCCATAATCACCGCCAGGAGTTCTACTAAACCACCACCTGACTTATGGAGTTCCACCGAACCACCAACTGATGCTAGAGTTTCGCCGGACCACCACCTAGCACCCGGACTTACCCCAGACCACCAACTGATTTTTGAAGTTCTACCGGACCACCACCTAATGCCCAGAGTTCTATTGGACCACCACATGATACCGAAGTTCCACCGGACCATCACCTGACGCCGAGAGTTCCATTGGACCACCACTTGGTGCAAGAGTTTTGTCGGACCATCACATGATGCGCAGAGTTCTATTGGACCACTGCTTGACACCAGAGTTCTGTCAGACCACTGCCCGACGTCGAAGCTCTATCAGATAAGCACTTGACGTCGAATTTCATCCAACCACCACCGAACTACCAACTAATGCCCGAATTTCCTAGTAACGACGGACATCCGCCAGACCACCAAGTGATGCCAAACTTCATCCCCTTTTGTTGCTAGATTTCAACCATACGGTTGACATTTATAATCTAATTCCCTCAGGGTGAGTCAGCCCACTGTGATCTACCCAAACATTAGTGAAATCATTCTAGACAGGGCCAGACCCCGTGGTTTTCTCCCTTTCTAGGGTTTTCCATATAAAAAACCTTGTGATATCTGTATGTGAGCTGAATATATGTGCAACGCTAAGACGTAGGATTTTTAACTCTATCATCTCGTATGTTCTAGCACACAATAAGAATATTTATAGAATCATTTGAAAATATTTATTATATATTATAACAATTTCTAGAAGTATTATCATTTTCAAAAAATACATAAAACAGGGTACTAACCAAACTATATGGTGAAAACTTAGAGTTTTCTTTTCAGCTTGTCGAGAATGTTTTGTTCTATACTATAAAAAGGTACACCGTAGAAAGTTTTTCAAACTTTGTCAAATTTAATAAAATCTTAAAAATTCCAGCTCAAATGTCGATATTAAAAACTAAAGTAAGTGATCATAAGCGTACCTCAAGCTGAACAATTCCTCAATTGACTTGTGGACGAATATTATTGTAGCACATAATATGCAATCTCGCTGCATTGATAACCAGATAGGCCAACATTGTACCGTTTAGGATTTAGGATTATAATTCTATTATTGGTATTTAAAATATTAGTAAATTATTTTCAATAATAATTTATATAGTATTTAAAAAACGAATTTTATACTCGGGCGGTTGCATCAGACATCTTAAATAAAATAAATTTAAGGTGATTTTGTGATGGATAAATGATTTCCGCAGAGTTGTATCATTTAGAGCACTAAATATAATAACATTCCTGATGACCCTACCTATTGCACATCCACGCTACAAAACTCACAAGAAGATAATTAATTTATCAACCGTCCCGCACATCATCCGCTACAAGAATCTATTAATGTTAGCTGCATTGTCAATAATCAAAGATCTTGCCGAGTAAAAAAATAAATCGAAACCACCCATCCGGGTTTATAAAATCCTATACCACAATGTCATTACACAAAAAATAAGAGCCCTTCGATTTGATTCAATGTTCGTGCTTCACATCTGATGCTCTAGTTGTTGGGCTTTCCATTCAGCTCAGGACGCAAAACAAGTTTGCGTGAGTTCAATTTTCATGGACTCGATTCTTTGTGCGATTGAGTCAAAATCTTCAGCTCAATAATTTATTTTATTCAAGATCGGGTTGGGGCCTTTTGATGAACAGAAGTAATTTCTTCCAGCAATCTCCCACTCGCATTCCTAATTTGCCTGAAAAAAGAAAAATATTTTATTGAACATAATTTATTTATATTAAAAAAAACATAAATTTTATTTTAAAATTATATATATATAATTCGTATTTATACTTTTATATCCATATCAATGTAATCAGACTATGATCAAATTGGATATAATCGAATAATCTATCCGTTTAGATGATGTTATCCGTTTGCCAAGCAAATGACTGGCTTGAGAACGTGGAGAGAGGGAATACATGGACAAAAGTGATGTGATGCTCCAATCTCTTAAGTTCAATATGAAGAATTAAATAACATATAAGGATGAATGTTCACAAGAGCATTCTTGCAGAACATAGTAGTTCACAGGCCATTGGACTAATGTATTGTAAAGAAATTAAGCAGAGATTAATCAAGCTAAGCGTTGCTCATGTCCTCCGCATGCTGAAGCTATATTCAGGAATATATGAACGTTTTCTGCATAGTGGTTTTATATCATATTTCAGTTATGCATCACTTTTTAATCATCTAATTATGTGCTTTCTAAAGGTTTATCAGCCCAATAGTATGAATGGTCTAGAAAAAACTGAAGTTAATTCTTAACCAGGTATTTTTAAATATGAAGGAGATCACCTGAAATATTTGAAGAGAGATATTTTAGGAAGGAAATTTTTTAAATTCATGGTTCAAATACAGACCTCCAGAATTCACCCTAATATGCTAAAAAAAAACACTTTTTTTTTTTGGACAATAGGAGGAAGAAAGACAGCCGGCTCTTTGTTCGGAACACAACAAAAATCGGATGACACAAAAATTTGAACAAAAATCTGAACAGAAATGTGAACTGTGAGCAAGAACAAAAATCTAATAGCATACTCTTAGAAGGAAGAAAAAGTTCAAACAAAAAACTGAAACTTGAGAGATCAGAGAAGAAACAAAAATCTGAAGAAAATTAAGAAAAAAGAAGAAAGCCTCACACGCGATTCTTTGGAGGGGAGCTCCGATCTCACGAGAGCCGCGATTCTTTCCTGGCTTCCTTGCTGGCTGCAGCGTGAAGAAGAGGGAAGAGGGCTGCGGGCGATTCACGAATGAGAGGCAGTCGGGGCAAACAAGGGGCAAATGTATTTTTTCAGATGGGGCAATGTACTAAAATACCCTTACCTGTAATTAAATTTTTTTTTAAGGGGGGGCAATTGCCCCCCTTGAATATCACTTGGTTCCGCCCCTGGATGTGGCATGAGAATCAGTTGGTATTAAGGATCTCGATTGGCTTAGGGTGCATTTAAGACCGGTATAGTTGTCGGTAAAATAGGTAGTAAAATTATTGTACATAAAATTGTTTTTTTAAGTTGTTGTGTATAAATCAGTATATTTTGTTTGTGAAGTATAACTGTCAAGTAATTTTACAGCACTTGTATGTATGAGAATAAATTACTTTTTTTTTTTGATAAAAAGGAAATATATTGATAATAAAAGCCGGTTACATCAAATGTAGACATACAACAAATAAAGCAGAGATAAAACGGATGAGTACAATAAAAGATCGGGCTCAGTAAACAGCCAAGACTACCAGCATCCCTGGAACCTCGCACGGACCATCGAGTAAAGTGGGAATCGAAAACCGACCCGAGAGCGACCACCAACCCGAGAGCCACACCAAAGGTTGCCACAGCTAAACGCCAGGGACGCGAGCCCCGACCACATCATTGCCCATATTATCGCATCAGCCAACAGAAAAAACATGAAAACAAATAGATAAAGAAGAAAAATCAACAGCTAAGAGAAATTTAGCGTCTACGGCGGCCTCGGCCGCGAAATCTCCCCCGAGAAGCAACATTTACACTAGGTCGCGCACGAACTAGTGTGAAGTCGTTACCAGGGTCCGATCCCCACAAAATTTCAGTGATGCCAAGCCATCTTCTGAGCAATCGGATACATAATCACCATCCGACGAGTCATTCAACCAATTAAAATGGTTCCTAATATCCAAACCAGACGAATCCCCAACCTGATTTGCCAAAAAATTCGAATCCACTAAATTCACTGGAACTTCAATTAAATTATTGATAACCGGGTTACAAACAACCACAGTATCAACCCAAGCAGTGACCAAAGGTGCAACATTAATGGTCTCCGATGAGTGAAACGGCATAGGATTCAAACTCGGAATCGATATAGTAGGAGGAAAGAAAGGAATCACATTTGGGGATAAACCAGCAGTAGTCCCGCCATCCTCTATTCCACCATAATTCACAATAGCTACATTTGACTCCACCAGATCAGACACACGCTCATTCAAATCATTTTGTGCAACATTAATAGGTATAGGAAGGGGATCGGTCGATAAAGGAACAACAGGAGACTCAATAGCATTCGTGATAGGAGAAAACTCACCCAAAGCAGGACACACGGTATCATTAAGAAACTCCACCGCGACAGATACCTCCCCACAAACAGGGGTAGCAGATGGCTCAACAGCATGAACATTCTCATGAATGATAACATTATTCAACATCTCACCCTCCAGAGAAATCTTAGAAACACCCTCAGCCACTAAACTAACAGTCGCTAAAGGAGGTTTGGGACAAGATTGAATCACAGGAACAACAGGTACAACCGGTTTGCAATTACCATGTACATGCCCGATACACTTACAGCTAGCACAGAATTGAGGAAATTCATCAAAAACAACCTCTTGAGTATAACCTAAAGATTCAGATCCTAACCACACTTGTTTAGGATAGGATTTAGTTATATCAAGTTCCACTAATACCCGGGCAATGGAAGGGCGAGAACCTACAGCAGTAGCTTCGTCAATCTTCAAAGGCTTACCAAACATACCGCCAAGCCCAAACAAAATACGAGGTGAAAAAAAAATGAGGGCGTAACCGAGGGAACGAAACCCAAATAGGAATAGCAGGCGATTCAGCAGCAATGTCCAGAGTTGGCGACCACTTCGTCAATTTCATAAAGCAATTAAACACTAGGTAGGAACGGTGACAAAACACCCTACAATAGTCCAGATCGTTTGCTAGCTTAATCAGGATATGCGACTGATCCAAAACAGTAACAGAAAACTCACTGTTCAACTTCAAATTGAAAAAAAATTTGCGTATAGAATCAAGAGGTGGTCTTTTAGAGGGAAAGAAACCCATAAGGGAAAACTGAAAAGGGGCAGCGAGCTCGTTGATTTCTTGATCGGAAACCCATAAAGACGGTATTCCACAAAAGGTAGAAACACACAAATCTGAAAATGAAGGTTTAGAACCAGCAAGCGCTTCAATAAAAGAAAACGAATGGGAAACCCCACCGAAAAAACCAGGGTCTCGAAGCTTCACCGCCGCCATGCCGGCGCAGCCGGCCAAAAAATCGAAGGAACCAGAAAAAATAGATAGCCACGCTAAAATACAGAAGTAGAGAAGTAAGGACTCCCCTGGAAAACGAAGGCCGCCGGAGAGAAAGCTCCCGCCGAACGGGCGAAGGCGCCCGGAGCCACGAACCTTAGCAGAGCGGCTAGGGCGAAAAAAAAGAGAATAAATTACTTATATATCCTTATATATTGAGATGAAAATAAATTATGTACATGCGAAATTTTTAAAAAAATTTATATACTAACAAACTAATGATTCTAAATTAAAAACTGTATCATCTTTTATGAAATATTTTATAACTTTTAAATATAATAATATAATTTTTTTAATAATGCAGTATCATATTTTAAAATAATCTGAAAAAAAAAATATTATCTGCTATTACTTTATACTAAATATACTATTTTTAATAATAATATAACTGATATATTTTTAAAACTTATTTAAAATATTTAATAAATATCTATTTAGATATCATGAATAAACTATTTATATTTCTCTAAATTACAATTTAAATCATGAACTAACAGCATCTCTTCCCCGACTATAACTTTATAAGTATTTCCAACAACAATCTTTATAAAATCATTTTATTCAGAATAAATAAATTAATCTGAATCAATACAAAAGTAACAGAACCATTTTCGGCTTCTTGGCAACAAGTACGTAGGATTTAACTACTCGACTATAGATTCTATGTAACAAAAATTCTTAGTTCAATGAGGATTCTTCTCGATTACGTAGGATTCAACAACTCAACCAAAATCCTTTGAAACATCTCGATAAAGGTCATCACAGACGTTTCTCTTTGTTCAATGAGGATTCTTTCCAGGCTCGTCTATTCTCGAGACATATAAATTAATACAGTAACATTACATGGTTTGTGTTCTCAAATTGTCTTAATTCCAACACATGTTGTAATATTTATTGAAAAAATAATCATTGCCAAGAATAGCAGATTGGTTGAGCTGATGGATTATTGAAATACCTTTAGGAGAGGATCACAAGTTCAATATACATGGATCCACATAGAAACGTGAAAGATATTATATCCTGCATATGATTTAAGCTTCATAAGACCAGGTGAAGATGAGAGTGGGAGATCCAATAAGCGTGATTTACAACTTTGTTGAATGTAAAACCTCACCAGATGACACCACATGCAACTCCATTGCATCGGAAAAGACAAATTTCAGCAAACTTCTCAGCGTCTCTTGAGTTGACCCTTCGAGAAAATCAGATCGTCGTAGATATCTATAGTATAAAAGGATAATATAACATAAATCATAGCACTCTCCATGAAATACTATGATAAGTTATTGAATTTCCCTAGTAATAATTTGATTTTCTCAACAATCATTATGTGATCATACCGTAGATTGAAAACAAGCTTTTCAGTGCACCTAAATTGCGGCAAGGAAAAATGAGTTACTATATTCGTTCCATCATACTAGCATATATGATCTTTATTTATTGAATCCTCTTGAAATGGTATGTTTTGATGCTGATATCTTATCATGCATCTATTTTTTGTTTGTATAAAGCATGGTTGTACGTAAACCAGCAAAGACACAACAGGAAAAATGTGCATTACTGACTGACAAAACTTGTCGGAAAATACTCAAAATCCGGATTTCCAACGAATTCTTTTTCGATGGTA